TTAATTAGTTATATATATATATATATATATATATATATTCTTAAGGGTTTCAACAGTACTGACTTGTAAAAACATCATTTCCTTTATCATTGCCTGAAAGGTTATTTTAATAATGATAAAACTTATTATTACTTACTTGTGAAAGCTGTTTCCTTTATCAGTATATTAAAATTTCTATTAATAATAATAACAAAATGGATAATCACTTATAAAAGTAGTTTTGTTTATCAGTGTTTGAAACTTATTTTAATAATAAAATGGATTAAAGGTGGCTATGAAAAGTAGTTTTATATATCATTGCTTAAGGGCTTTAATAAAGCTAATTAATATTGACTCGTGAAAGTAGTTTTGTAAATCACAACCAGAGGGTTCTAACAATACTGACTAATATTTCATTGCTATAACCTTCACTGTTAAGTTTTCAAAATTTTAATTCTAGTATTTTATATGGAAAACTGACATGCAGATAATGCATTAAAAAAGTATCAACTAAAAATTTTGTTACTGTTCATAATGTTGGCATTTAAAATTTGTATGCATAAAGATAAATGTTAATATTTATTTACAGGAAGTTAGCATTTTACTGCCAGAAATTGTAAGCTGTTTAATTCCACATAGTTTGTCAAGTTTTAAAGTAGGGGAAAAGGTAAGCCATAACATTGGATAAACCTTTTTTTTTCATTTTGAATTATTTATATATTATTTCTGTGTTAGAAAAAATTACATTGATTATTTTCTTTACAGTAGCAGCTAGTCTTTTGTCTATGAAAATGGTGAAATGTTAATATTCTTGGTGGTTTATTTCTATATCATAATGTTTCTTTGTGTATAATGCTTGAGGTTTTTATTTGTAAATATAATATGCATTTTAATCACAATTTGAAATCTAATACTCTCAGTCTGCATAAACATCATTTTATGGAAGAAATATGTTGGTGATCAAATTACACAATAAAACCATAAAAAATAGTTAAAAACACTTCATTTTTTCACATAGAGATCATCACGAACAGATAGTTTTTCCGATAACAATCTCCAGATTTGAATGAGAATTTTTACTAAAATTTTATTTTATATATGTTTTGCATATTTCTTTAGGTCAGAAAAGTCCTGAATTTTCTGGTTGTTGATTGTGCAACTGTCCTTGGTGATGCTGTGTCCAGGTTGCCTCCTTTTCCTGATGCTGCTGTGCTTGAAACAATTAGGGCACAACAACAGAATCTTATGTACAGAAATGGCCCATTTGATCTGAAAGAGGTAAAGCTTAAATATATATATTTACTGCTGACTGAACTAACAATGAAATATTGTGAGTCCTTTTAGAAAATACTTTATCAAAACTTTGAAATGATACATAATATTTTGATTTTATCTTTATTTATATATTCTCCTTAGAGCAGACTTCCTGCAGTATCTTTTTGTTATTTTCTTATATTTCTCTGTTATTTTTTCTTTACAAAAATGTTTTACTTTTGTTGTTTTGGTCAGCATTGCAAGTTGTGATCCACAAACTCTTAATGGAAGGTGCTACTCTATTGCATACATTTCATTATCCAAATGAAACTGTCTGAGGAGTTCTTATCATTTAAGATGCTCCTTGTAATATAATTTATGAAATGATACTTTGTACTTATTAATTTTGTACTTGTATGTTATTATTTATTAGGAAATCCAACATTTCCTCAACTCCACAAACCATGGTCAGAGTAGTTGTGAAGCACTTAGGCATATACACAAAGAAATTCGGGAGAAGAAAGAAGAACTGAAAAGACTATTGGAAGAATTACAAGGTTTGTGTATGTGTTTGTGACTTAAATATTCACTAGAACATATACAAAGGGGTGGGGTTCATTATCCACTGTAATGGTACAAGAATGAGTACCTAGGCTTTTAATACAACCCCTTCTTCCATCAGTAATATTGGCCTTTGTTTATGGATTATTGCTCTGCATTTCAATTTCCATTGCAAGAGACATTTGCACAATACACAGGTTATTTTTAATCCTCTCTTTACATGCTTTCCAAAGTACATCAACCATGTGCAGATAATGACTTCAAAGGGATTGTTGGAACAACTCAGAGGCACAAAAGTTTCTGGAAGATGTCTGTGAATGGAATAGCATGAATTCCTGTTTGCATGTACAACTTTTGGAGGAATGGGCATGTTGACTTTCACATGTGGCTTAATGTTTCGTTTTGATGAGGGTATACTTTATTGGCATCTAACCTTTATAAACATAGTGTACCTCCTTATGGCATAATGGTATCAGTACATTAGTCTTATAGTATGTGGAATTCATCTTGGTATCTTTCTGAACTCCTCAGTTGTTCAAATTTAAACAACACTATAGCCATAATTCATGTTTTTGGAAAAATTATTGAAATAGTTCAACACTACAAGTACTACCTTTCTACAAGATGCTAAGGGAATCATTTTTATACATTATTTAAATTTCAGATCAGGTTGGGCATGGCCTAGTAGTTAATATGCTGGATTGTGGATCTGAGAGTCCATGATTCATGTCTTTTTACCACACACGTTAAAATAAAAAATCGTTCTCTGCACTTTATGGCTGTTAGTGTGTTATAAGAGTGAGAGTAAAAATCTTAATATTTAATTAGAGTAGCTAAAGAGTTGCAATGGATGTTATTCTTTTAGTCTATCAGTTCAAAATTATAGATGGCTAGACTTGCAAGAAGAAGGCTAAGGTTTGTAACTTGTGTAGTCACAGGTTACAGGGGTGGCCAAGGGCCAAGTGCAAATTATTACTGCAAATTATGAACAGTCTTACATGAGAGAACTAACATCATGGGTTTTGTTTGTTATGTTTATGCCAGAACATGTCATCAAATCTTTACAAACATTTTCCTCAAAATAAAATACGATTATTTTGATTCATGAGAGTTTGTGCAATGTACACACTTGTGAACACTATGTGTTGAAGTAGATGAACTCCTGAAATAATAAATGCTTTCGTGTGTTTCTGTACTGAAGATTGTTTCACGTAACATACAACTTGCCATTTTAAAATACTAATGTATGGTATATATCACTAAATGCATATAACAATATTCTTATTTTTCCATGTTTAAAAATGGTATTCTGTAGATTTGTTAATGAAAAGCATAAGGTGATGACTGATTGTACAGGTCAAGCAGTCAACTAACATTGTATTAGCATTAAAAACAGTAACACTATCTCTTTTCTAAGTTGTATATGCATTTTACAAAATTATATTTCCTCGTTTCAGATACTTTAACAATTTGTATTTCTTATATAACTGTTATATACATTATATAAGTATGTTACACTTGAATGATATTGTTAATGCATCTTTCTTTGGTATACTTAGGAATTAAGGATATTTATCTATTTAAGAGAAAAATTGTGTTGTAAATTTTGTTAGGCTTCTGTTTTGAACTTCATCATGGATATGCAAATGAAGCAAAATTTGTAGAGAAATACATTTGTATTCTTGGCCTGGGATATGCCATCAGAGCATGAATATGGATAATGAAACTAGAACCCAAAGTGACACTTCAATCAATTCTACTTCAAGCTATTCAACTTTGGCTTGGAAGAAAAACTAGAAGCACTGGTTAAATAGAAAATATCATAAAACTCTACAAACTTTGGAAGTCTACTATGAAAAGTGTGTTACTCCCCTTTTCGTATACATATACATAATTTGTCTTTTCAAATAAATTAAATAGAATTTAATTCTCATGATAAATCAGGTTCCAAACAAGAGATACTTTCATCAATGTTTCAACCTTAGAATGGTTAAGATTGTTTAATCTTGACCAGAGTAATATTCAATACTTCATTATGCAATAGCCATCATCACCTGATATTGCCTGAGTATTACCTGAACAGAGGGCAGATGTTTAGCTATTTTTAAAGAGAAAGGATCAAAATTTTGCTTTTCATGTAACAATACATGTCAAATGCATAAAGGTACTAATACTGAAAAGAAATACATACTGTTTTCAAGCATTCTAAGAATATGAAATTAGATGGGGGGGAGATCCTATCTCACATGTATTTCCATTTACTAATAAACTCTGTGTTAGTTTTTCACTGGTTTTGCTTGTGTAATTCAGTCTGAAACCCTGGAGTTTTGATGAAACTTAAAAACCTATAAAAGTTGAACACTAACTGTTAGGTAAAATTATTTATTTTCATTATAATATTGTATCAAATCACAATTTATTATAGCGTTTGGCAATTTTTTTATCCATGTAGAGCTTACACATACATTTTTATTTTAAATAGTTTTTCAGATACAAATGAACAAACATTTAAATTAATCATTTCTGACAATAATATGAATTCTAACACTTTTATGTGTTTTTTTAAAACCTATTGTTACATAACTGTTTTTAAAAAAACACTTATGTGTGGTTTCTTTTAAAAAATATAAAACAATAACAGTTTTGTAACAACAGGTGTTTAAAAACATTGTACAGAATAAACCTAATCACTTGTTCAGCTCTTGTTAATTAGTATAATCAATCACTCTCAGCTAGCCAAACTACTCAAAATACTTTATAATTTAAAATCAAACACAGTATCTTTATTAGGGGCTAATTAAGCATAATGGAAAATATCGCTTGCCTTTTGTGATGCTCTTCCTGAGTAGGTGTTTCCCCTCCTCTCACTTTCTGGTGAAACTCACAGCTGCACTGCTCATTCAGAAATGATTTTTGTACAATGATTGGAGAAAGTTTGGTATTATTTGTAACTCCTTCAATTTTTTTAAATAATGGCAAATTTGTTTTTTCACTGCACAGGTAATAACTTAAAAAGATTTTTTTCAATTTGAAAATGAGAAATACAAATGAACAAACATTTAAATATAATCATTTCTGCCAATAACATGGATTCCAACACTTAAAAACCTTTTGTTACAAAACTGTTATTATCATTAAACACTTAATCCTTATCAATTTGTTGTACCAAGTGACAGATGACAGCATATTCTTCTCTCTTATTATGGCCAAAAGTTTTTTGAGATAAAAATAGTACCTAGGTGCACACCCTCAGAATTTCCTTAGTATGCATGTAAAGTTTCAAGTCTCTGACACATTGGCACACACACACTCACACGGGCTGTTTTATTTGTAAAGATTAAGAAATAATCATGAAAACAAGATGGAAACATTTCAATTTTCCTTTAATATCATCTGATATATGTGTGGAATATTAACAAATACTGTTTAGACATAACAGTATTGCTGTACAAGAATCATGGTTTGGTTGTACCTTGAGTTGGAGTTTCTTAATGTTGATGCTTGACATAGAACTTAAAACACTATTCCTTAATAGAATGTAAAACCCACGTGCATCCAGCATGTATTTGAAGCTTCTAATTTACAAGAAAATTATGAATCATCTAGATGTGTGACAGGATGGTTTAATGTTCTAGACAGAATGCCATCGTCCATTGACATTAGTTCTGTCTTGGACAGGGTGTTCCAGGGAAATACACAGTTTTTTCATTATTAATTTATTATTCAAATTGCATGCCATTAACAGCCGTACACACACACATATATATAGAAATATCAGTTCTTGGTATACTGTGCTATCAGGGTATTTTCTTTCTTGAAATATGTACAACTGGCATTAGAAGTGTGTTTGTTTAATTTTAAGAATATAATATCTATTTTCCCTGTGGGTGCAGACTTCTGGGACATCCTGTATTGTACTATGTTTAACTTAAAACACTGATTGTTTGGATTGAATATATACTGAAACAGTTGTAGTGTTTATTCAACTTTTACGTTCTAAATAGGCTGAACAAACATTATAACAATTTTAAAGTGTCACTTAATTTTACATGATCATTAATGTTTTGAACAGCTGTAAGATATGACCCATTTTTCAAACATGGTTAGATAGCTGAACAAATGTTGGAGCAGTTAACATAAGGTATGACTAGCTTTTAAATATTCACTAACTGTGCTGAACAAATTTTGGAACAATAACCTGGAATGACTATGTTTTTTAATACTGAAATGGTTTAAACTGGAATTAGGGCTGAATGCAGCTCTGTGGTTAACTTGCTGGACTGTGAATCTGAAGTTCTGTGGTTTACATCCCATTGTAGCCAAAAACAAAATAACTTGGGGACCATGGGTGCATTAAAAGGGTGAGTGACAGTTAAATCCCACTATTCAATCTTACAAGAGTAGCCCAGGTAGGTGGTGTTGATAACTGCCTTCCTTCTAGTCTCTTACTTAAAAATTATGGTTGGGTAGCACAGATAACCTTTGTGTAGCCTTGCTTGAAATTCACAAAAAGGTATTAAATTAATATTAGGAGATTTAGCTATATGTGTGTTCACTGTAGTTAAAAATTGCACTTAATAAAATTATTACAGTTTGTGTACTTTATTGTTAATATATTGTTTTCATGCTCTAAATGTAATGACGATGGTCAATTTATTTAGGTTTCAGAATGTACTCTTTAAGTTTTTTCTTTGTAAACTTATTATTAGAAAAGGGTATTTTCTGTCAAGTCTTTAGAGCGAAGATGAGATACCTTGAATCATGTTAAACAGCATATAATGTGAAACTTATTTGAAATAAATGTAAAACATTTCACTTAATTATCTTATTATTTTCAAGTGTGATACATATTAAATATGAATAGCTACATTCTTTGAATTTCTCCTTGGTAAAAGAGTTGGAGAAACTGACTCATAAAGTCAGATAAATATGTTATTGTTTTGTTGTAGACCAGTTATTGTGTATTTGATTTAATTTTTTTATTTACAGCTCTTGTTATTTGGGGTTTAATTTCCTCTATATTTCTTTAGGATGTTTTTTTTTATAATTCAATGAAACACTTTCAGTAAAAGACATAACTGTACAAAACCTGAATTCACAGTCCTCACTCTTTTCAACCAAGCAATATTGAAATAAAACTAGGATAAAAGTGAAAGTTTTTGTACTTTTAGGTCTTATTATTATTATATCCTTTTTTGTTAATTTAATAGAACAATTGGATTTTTAGCTACATTTACACCGTCCACTGTGTGTTTCCAAATTATCTATATATATTTTGACAAAAAACAACATACTATGGAATGAAGTGCAATGATTATTTAACTCAAAAAAAAAAAAAAATTGAATTAAGTTATAAAATTTTGTTAATGTACCTGTATTCATTATCACATCAAGTAGTAACTGTTAATGCTACTATAAAAACTTTTGATAATTTTATTTTAGAAAAGTGGCTGTTCTCAGAGGATGTTCTGAATTCTCCAGTGCACCAACTAGTCTGTCACTTGATTCACCAGTGTAGATCTGAAGATAAGCAGGTAAAAGTAATAATGTTTAGTCTTAAAGCTTAAATTCTAATGTGAGAAGTCCTTGTCATTGAAATATCATCCAGTAAAACCATTAAAATAACTAAGGTATGAAATTTGATTGTTGTAACCTCACTCATGAAAAGTGATTTTGGCAGTCTTGTATAGCTTTATTTCTTTAATTCCAAATTGTAAGGCTGGATTTTTAGCTTTTTTAAAGAAATTAGTGTATTATATTTATATAAGAATATTCTTATGTTTACCATATGCTCATTAGTTTAATTTTTCTGGATCACTGGTTTTGGTCAGAAACGTTTATTTCGTCATTCTGATATTGTGTAATTATTAGTATGTTTTTGATAGATACAAAAAGAAGCAAGTGCATGTCTTGGTGAAATTGGCCCAGTTGACCTTTCAACTATTGTCTTGCAACCTAAAAGTCAAATATTTCCAGTCTTAGCTTCTGCACAGAGAAATTTTGATGAGGATTGTCCAAAAGAAAAATGTTATTGTGCTGTTTTTCACCTTCTTAATAACTGTATTCAAGATAACAGGTATGAACTCTCTCTGTCATATGTGATAGAAAGAGTAGCAGTTTATTTACAAAATAATTTGAAGATTTTAATGTATTGCTATTTTATTCATGGAATAGTAAAGAATTGTAATATATGTTAACTTTCATTGAAGCATCTTTTTAAAACAATAAAAAGGTACAAGTGAGTGCACAAAAACTACAATATAAAAAGATACAAGTTAGCCCCCCAAAAACTACAAAATAAAAAGGTACAACTGAGCCCACAAAAAAAATTACAACAAAATAAAAAGGTACAAGTGAGTCCACAAAAAATAACAACAAAATAAAAAGGTACAAGTGAGCCCACAAAAAAACTACAGTAAAATAAAAAGGTTCAAGTGAGCCCACAAAAAACAACAACAATGAAATAAAACGATTATCTTTTTAATACGTACAGGTCATTTGTATAAAGTGTAAGTAATCACTAGTAATATATGCTGAAAAACAACCACAAACCATAAAGGTACAAGTGATACCACAAAAAAACTACAACAAAATAAAAAGGTACAAGTGAGCCCACAAAAAATTACAAGATAATTAAAAATATTATCTTTTTAATATGTACAGGTCATTTGTATAAAGTGTAAGTAATCATTAGTAATACATGCTGAAAAACAACAGCAAAATAGAAAGGTACAAGTGAGCCCAGAAATCAATAAGAACAAAATAAAAAGGTACAAGTGTAAATAATCTCTAATAATACAAGAAAACAACAACAAAATATAAGGTACAAGTCAGCCCACAAAAAAAAACAACCACAAAATATAGAGGTATAAGTGAGCACACGAAGAAAAAACACAAAATAAAAATGTACAAGTAAGCTTACAAAAACTACAACAAAATAAAAAAGGTACAACTGAGCCTACAAAAACAAAAATAATAAAAAGGTCTAAGTGAGCCTACAAAAAATAACAAAATAAAAAGGTACAAATGATCCACAAAAGAACAAACACAAAATAAAAAGGTACAAGTGAGCCCACAAAAAAAGAACAACAAAATAAAAAGATACAAGTGAGTTCACAAAAAATAAAAAAGGTACAAGTGAGTCCATAAAAAAAAGATTAACAGGATACAAGTGTAAATAATCTTTAGTAATACAGAAAAACAACAACAAAATAAAGTGGTACAAGTGAGCCCACAAAAGAACAACCACAAAATAAAAAGATTATATTTTTAATGTGTACAGGTCATTTATATGAAATGAAAATAATCTTTTGTAATACATGCTGAAAGAGAATAACAAAATAAAAAGGTACAAGTGAGCCCACAAGAAAGACAAAATAAAAATATTATCTTTTTAGGGTGTACAGGCCATTTGTATAAAGTGTAAGTAATCTTTAGTAAGGTTAGTAATACATGCTGAAAAACAACAACAAAATAAAAAGGTACAAGTGAGCCCACAAAAAAAACAACAAAAACAAAATAAAAAGATACAAATGAGTTCACAAAAAAAAAACGAAAAAAAAAGGTACAAGTGAGCCCATAAAAAAGAACAACAGGATACAAGTGTATATAATCTTTAGTAATACAAAAATACAAAAGAAAATATAAAGGTACAAGTGAGCCCTCCCCCAAAACAAACTAATTATAAAGGTACATGTGAGCTTGAAAAACATCAAAATAAAAAGGTACAAGTGAACACACAAAAAACAACAACAACAAAATAAAAGGTAGAAGTGAGCCCACAAAAAACAAGATAAAAAGATATGTGTATATAATCTTTAGTAATACAAAAATACAACAAAATATAAAGGTACAAGTGAGCCCAAAAAATACAACAACAAATTATAAAGGTACAAGTGAGCTCGAAAAAAACAACAAAATTAAAAGGTACAAGTGAACACACAAATAAAAACAACAACAAAATAAAAGGTAGAAGTGAGCCCACAAAAAAACAAAATATAAAAAAGGTACAAATGAGCCCACAAAAAAACAACAAAATAAAAAGATTATCTTTTTAATGTGTACAGTGTACAATAATAAAATAAAAAGACACAATTGTAAATAATACAAAAAACAACAAAATAAAAAGATACAAGTGTAAATAATCTTTAGTAATAAAAAACACAAGAACAAAATAAAAAGGTACAAGTGATCCCACAAAAAACATCTACAAAATAAAATGGTACAAGTGAACCCACAAAAAAATAAGAAGATTCAAGTATCTTTAGTAATGGAAAAAAAAAACAAGAACAAAATAAAGAGGTACAAGTGAGGCCACAAAAAAACATGCACAAAATTAAAAGATTATGTATTTAATGTGTACAGGTCATTTATATAAAATGTAAATAATCCTTAGTAATACATGCTGAAAAATAACAACAGAATAAAAAGGTACAAGTGAGCCCACAAAAAACACCCACAAAATATAAAGGTACAAAAGAGCCCAGAATATTGAATTGAAAGGTACAAGTGATCCTACAAAAACAACAACAAAATAAAAAGATACAAGTGTAAATAATCTTTAATAATACAAAAAATAAGAACAAAATAAAAAGGTAGAAGTGAGCCCACAAAAAAAGAACAACAAAATAAGAAGGTACAAGTGAGCTCACAAGAAAACAACAACAAAATAAAAAGGTACAGGTGAGCCCACAAAAAAAGGTACAAAAAAGTGAGCTCACATAAAAACAACAACAAAATATAAAGATACAAGTGTAAATAATTTTTACAATAGGATAGATACAAGTTGTGTTTAGTACACTAATACTACTCAGTCACTTAAAAGAATGCATAAGAATTAAGAAACCAGCAGCAGCACCAATCAACTTTCATAAAGTTAATTTCATACTACATGTATCATAATTTTAGATATTAAGTAATGTGAAAAAATTTAGTTTACTGTTGTTCTTTTGAATACCTTGTACTTCTGAATATGGAGAGTCTGCCTGTAAAGGATTTAAACCTAATGAATGACACATAAAGAGCATTTTAATATTTTCTAAGTTTAATTTTTTTTAGAAAGATAGTCTGCTCAGAAGTGCATACACTGAATTGATATCTTCCAGTGAAAAGGATTAAAGAATATCTTGTAATAATGATATTGTTGGTTTCAAAAATGTCTGAATTCTTTGAAAATATTTACTGTTTAAAGGATAAAGAGAATAAGACAAATAGCTAGTCATTTTTGAGTAACAAAAATGGTAGACTAGTTATGCTTTCATTCTCTCTTGAATAGATAAAATTTGTTTTTAAAAACATATTTACTTTACAATGAGTTTTTTTTTTTCAGTATTGAAGTTGTTAAAGCTGCCACTAATGTTCTGAAAACTGTGATGTGTACCCACTCAGGTCAGAGTTTCATGAAAGCATATATTAAGAGAAACTGTGACAATCTCTTCACAATTTTGAATCCTTTTCAAAGCAAACAAAAGGTTAACAATTTTTGGATTTGTATTTCTGTATTTTCAGTTATTGAGCAACCATCAGTTGTCTCTTGAAGAATAGGGTATATTAGAATATTAATTTAATTTTAAACATTATCAGTAAAATGCTGTAAAGTGTTTTTACTCATGAAAGACTTTTTCAGATAGTCTTATTTTATTTTTACCTTGTAAGAATAGCTTTTTTTTTCTTGTATAATACTGTTGTCCTTTTTTGTGTAATTTAACCCTACTTACATATTTTTATTTGAAGTTATGGGTTTTTGGCTTATTCTTGTAATGCTGTGCATTCTGAAAGCAGGTGAATGATTTGTAGTCATTCATACTCCACTACCCATTTATAGAAAGGCAGATCAGAAAAATATAAATTAGTAGTTTTTCATATAAGATTCAGTTAAGAGATTATAACAGTTATACTTAAATATGAAAAGCTTCAGAGTTTAATTACATAATTATGATTAATAATGTAATACTATATTACTTTTGTAGGATCTCTTGGTAGAGAAAGTATTAATTTCCACATAACCTTCTTAAAAGCATGTAGTGATTTAAGAAATTTTATGCATTTCTAATCAAACTTGTGGTATGGAAATCAAGTACTGGACAGTTTCAATTGTAGAGGGAATAAATATATTAATGGTTCTTAAGAAAATTGTACTATTAATAATTCAAATGTCACAAAACTTAAATTTTTCATCCATTATTAACAAGAAACGTTTGTTATTTTATAATGAAGGTTTCTTAGTTTCTTTTTTTGTGGTGTGTTTTTTGGTTTCATTGATACAGAATTTTTCATCAAAAAGCATAAATTAAGAACAAGAGGTTGCTAAAGTATTTTAAATTAGTAAACAATTACAGGATGCTACAGTTTGTTTTGCATATTTTGCATTGTTGAATATTGTTGACAATTACTTAAACCATATGATTCAATCATCTGAAAAAACCAAAGAGTTAAAGCTTCTGAGCTGCGACAAATTTTCAAAAATTATCCATTTCATGTGAACACAGTATTTATGTAATTAGTTTTGTTTCAAAAGGAGTTTGTATTTTATTTTTTTCATCTCTTAGGTTGTATTTGTAGTAGAAGTGATCTAGACATTTCATTTAGAAAAGTGAAAATACAAGAAAATAAACCAAACAGTCTAATACTTTGGTCATATGATTGATGGGATTTAAGCTTACAACTATTATTTTGGTTGGTTTAAATATGTAGTACACATATGTATATTTGTACAGTGATGATAAACCTCATTGAAAAAAAAGTTTTATTTCAGAAATTATTAAAGTACATGTATACTTTCTTAAGTGTGCAAATATCCTTAAAATTATGACAAGGTTTAGAGACTTGATTCCTAATTTTGTTTTTGCCATGAAAGGCACAGATTTTGAACCTGCTTCCACCAACTGAAGCAGATTTTGTTGGAAAGATAGATGACCAATCTCTCTGGTCACCTGAAGTTTCAAATCATGAAGACTGGGTGACCAGGTTGATGTGTGCTCTGCTAGAAAGTAAAGCAACTCAAGATGAAATTTTGCAAAAGCTGATTCCAGTTTGTAGGTTTAAGGTTTGTACTTCTCACAGGAGTTGATCTGTGTGTAACTTGATTTGTTTTCAGTGTCTGTGTGATTCATCATTGTAAGTCATATAATGTCAATTTCTGGTCTTGTTTCAATGAATCATTCTATCAGTATTACACATGTAATGGTGTTCACCTCAGTAGCATAAAACCTTTCAAGCTTTTTTTAAACATTAAACTCTGTATCTTAGTATTTTTGGTTTTAAGTTATTATCATTCAGCCCACATACTTTTAACCCTCTCTCTTTTTTGTACTTGTCACAAGGTTTGTTG